AATGCTGGCTGCTATAGAATGCTGGCTGCTATAGAATGCTGGCTGCTATAGAATGCTGGCAGCCACTGCCTCTCAATCAAACACCGGGGTGAACAGATAACGTCACTGTACATGCATGCTAGAAAACATGATAAAAAAATTACATATTAGTGGCATATATACAAGCTAGGCTGGAAATACATTAATTGCTACATAAATTAATTAATTACATTAATTGCTCTGCCATGTGGTTTTATGTTTACAAACTTTACCTTAGTTGCTTGTGTAAACTACTTTAGAGCAGGAATTTTTCACAGGGTACAAACTAATAATTTATTGATACTGCCACACGTATATAGATCTTCAATTTCTTGTATGCCTACTTTTATAAATAATGACAGGTCTGCATATATATTTATAATTAATGAGCTCATACATTTCACAGTGACTTAAATGGCTTTGTAGTAATTTCGATTTTTTTATCAATATAATTAGGGTTATGTACTAAACCATAACTCTTGAACCACCTCTTCTTGAAGGTGGATATGCTTAATTGTATATCAACATTAATTCTCTGAGTAGCAATTACTAGAGGCTCTTTTCCACGTCACATTAACTTCTAAATAGAGTACACATCATTATTACAATCAGGTAGAAAATATGATGATCACTCGAAAAAAAAAAAAAAAAATTTCTTTTTTCATTTTGTTTCGAAATAAAAAATAAATAAATAAAGTGCACGTCATTATGATAATCAGGTAGACAATATAAGATGATCACTCAGAGTAGGCACGCTTTTCACCCTTCAACAAATACCTTGTAATCCAGACCTTCGGAGCAGTTAAACACGACACACTGCTTCGCGAGTGCTTTAGCTAAGTCCTTGGTGGTTTCCGTCTTTCCCGTTCCTGCCGGCCCTGCAGGCGCTCCTCCCAGATCCAGCTGCAGCGCTCCCATGAGACACAGGTAGCATCGATCGGTGAGCGGTGTGATAACCAGCCTCGATGATGCTCCTAGATACTAAATAACACACATAGATACACGATATTACCATATGTATACATATAGCCAGATGGAGAGACATATACTCTCGAAAATTCGCTAATTAAAATTTGACAACTCATTATATTTGTTTTATATTTATTTTCTCTCTCTACATATACATGATATATAGAATATACATATATACATATATACACCATGTATCATATTATATCTTATATACAAAACTAATATACATATTGAAATATAATGTCATATGACCATTTATATATATGACCATCTTCTTACATCAATAAATGCCTAGAAACCCACTCATCGACCATTTTATCGCAACATATTGTTATCGCGACCGACGTCTTGCGTAACATGCATCACGCCGTGTTTTCGTTGTTCTTACCTCGTAGCCGTAGACGTACGAAGAGTTGGACATTCGTACGATGCAGTTGTCAATGTCCGTGTCCCAGTAGTAGCGCAGCTGCTTCTGCCACTCAAAGTGCTGACTGGAATCAACCTATTGGATGAAACATGTCGCTTGTGAAATAAACACCTTCACACATATTAAATATATGCTTATTTACATGTATAGAATGTAGGAAAGCTCTCCCCTCCTCTCTCTCTCTCTCTCTCTCTCTCTCTCTCTCTCTCTCTCTCTCTCTCTCTCTCTCTCTCTCTCTCTCTCTCCTTTAAGGAGTCACTCATAGTAAATGAGACATTCCATTCAACAATATTACCATAGTCCACTCTTCCACTAGTTTGTCCCACTCCTCCAGTGATTGCCACATCAGCTGTTTCAGCTTCAGCTCAGTCTGTACCTCTTGCGATTCGAACTTGGCAACGTCAACCTAAAACGTTTGATCATTTTACATTTTGCGTCCAAACACACGCATACAATACAAGCAATGTAAATGTGCATTTAACGCAAAGAGCAAAAGCATGCGGTGTTGCTACTTTTTAAGCAATTTTTTTAGCAAAATGTTTTTAGCAAAAAAGGTTTGTAAGCAATTTTCTTAGCATTGCAGGACTTTTGTATATCTGAAAATCCTTACCTTGAAGCTTTTCTGGTAGATGCTATACTTGGCAGCCTTCTGCTGGAGATCGACCATGCGAGTGTCTTCCTCTAACAGCATCTTCCACACCTGCTGCCCATCTGCCTCCGGGTCAAGAAAGATTGGGTTCTGTAAGAAAAGAGAGCCAGAGATGGCTAGTGACAAATCAATAGATCATCACGTGTAGTGGTGGGCAAGGAGAAGGTCAGTGTATCCAATACACGTGCGTGTGCAGGAGAAAGGTGCAGTTGTATGCATCACGTGCATGGTGCAGGAGAAGGTCAGTGTATCATCACGGCTGACCCGGTACTGATGGTGGGCAGGAGAAGTCAGTGGTATCATCACGCTGTAGGTGCACGGAGAAGGTCAGATGTATGCATCACGTGCGTGGTGCAGGAGAAGGTCGGTAGTAGTGCATTCACCCCTGCATTGTGCAGAGGAGAACTGTCAGTGTGTCCATCGCCACGTCAATGCATGGTGCAGGAGAAGGTCAGGTGTGTGATCACGTGCATGGTGCAGTGAGAAGGTCGTGTTCTTCCGTCTGATGCAGGAGAAGGTCAGTGTATCATCACGTGCATGGTGCAGGAGAAGGTGTCAGTGTATCATCACGTAAGCATGGTGCAAGGAGAAGGTCAGTGTTCATCCAGCGTGCATGTGGCAGGAGAAGGTCAGTGGTAAATCATCTACGTGCATGGGTGGCACGGAAGACCGGTCAGTGTAATCATCACGTGCGTGGTGCAGGAAGAAGGTCAGTGTATTCATCCGTGCATGTGGGCAGGAGAAGGTCAGTGGGTGCCCAATACAGGCTGGGCATGGGGGCCAGGCAATTTGAGAAGGTCCAGGTGGACGGCGGTGCATAACGGAACACGTGCACTGGAGTGCAGGAGAGAGGTCAGGGGTGTGGTGATCACGCTGCATGGTGGGCCTAGGAGAAGGACAGGTATGCATCACTGTGTATTGGCGTCAGCGAGAAGGTCAGTGTATCATCACTGATACATTGGTACCAGGGATATGTCAGATGGTGTGGATCACGTGCGAATGTGGAGGCACGAAAGGTCAGTGTGTGATCACAGTGCATGGGTGCAGCGAGAAGCGTCTAGTGTGATGATCACGTGCGATGTATCACGGAGAAGGGTCAGTGTATCATCAGCGCTGGCCATAGGGTTGGGCAGGGCTTGGGGGATAGAGAGATGGTGTAAGTGTGCATGTGTGGGAGTCACGTTGCACAGTAGGGGTGCATTGGCGAGAGAAGGTCAGTGTAATTCATCACGCAACATACCTATTGGTGCGGAGGAGAGGTCACGTTGTGTGAATCGACAGTACATGGTGCGGAGAAGGTCAGTGTATCATCACCAGTGGCAATGGTGCAGGAGAAGGTCAGTAGTAATCGATCCACGGAGCTTGCATGGAGCAGCGATAAGGGTCAGTGTGTGATCCACTGCTATGCGGATGGGGTTGCAGAGGAGATAAGGTCAGTGTACAGGTCAGTTCGGTGCACCCACGTGCATGTATAACGGCTGATCAGCGAGAAGGTCAGTAGTATCAGCACACGTGATGGTGGCACGGAGAAGGTCAGTTGTATCTGTCAATCTAAGACTAGACGTGCATGGTGCAGTCTAGAGAAGGTCAGTGTGCTGATCAATGTGCATGTGCAGGAGAAAGGTCAGATGTATCATCACACGTTGCATGGGTCGGTACATCGTACCCCCTCATTGGGGCGAGCCAAGTGGCGATCCCAATCGGCCACGCCTGACATGTGAATCACACACACCACCGGCCGGGGCTAACCTGAGCGGGAGCGAGGGCTAATACTGGTAGACTAATCTGGTCAGACACACCCGCGCATCCCAAGACAGTATTACTACAGTACAGGGCAAACACAAACGTTAATTCACAGCCCTCGTCATGATTAAATACCGTAGATATAATGTATTCTATGGTATAATAACGCCAAAATACGGGCCGCCAAGGAAGAGAAGCATGGGTACCCCAATGAAAAAGCATGTCCTAAAAACTAACCCTTAACCCCTAATTCAAGTGCACCACGCGAGCACCCCGCAAACCTATTTAATAGTATTGACATGTAAAGAATTAACTCGGTTATATTGATGTAACTGAATTGGGTGTTATTGGACCGCATGTTCTCATATCTTGTGAATCGAAATGCGTGCACTTAAGAAACTTGCTCAGGAGGCCTAAAAAGAGTCGAAGTGCTCACTTCAACACCTTACGGTGCACGGTATCTTTTAAATAGTCGCCATATTCTTTGAAAATGGGAAGTCAAATCACAGTCACCCAATGTACCACGCGGAGAGGCAAGACTACAGATCGCACAGCCATTCGCGAGCAGTTATGGATCGTCAACTCGGACTTCACCGGTGCGCCTGCACTACAACAACTCGGTGGGCTGTTTCATTACTGGAGACATCATGTCACTGGTATCAATCGGACTCTGTTTTGCAGCCTCGGGCAGTGCAGCGTCAGAACAACAGTTAGAGAACTGAATTATGCTGATCAAAGTATAAGGTTCTCGATGATGAAACACACACTGACACGTTCGTCCGTTCTCTTTTTGTGCGTCGATAAGTGGCTTGTGGTCGGGTAGATATTGTTACGCGTCGGCTCACCCTTGCATCGGCCGAGGGAGAGAGGGCCCGTCCTCGCAATCATTCATCGCCCTTGCGAATCGAGTGTGGAGTCCAACACATTTGCATGATCATGCCAATAATCTATGCTTCTAAGTGCGGATCGGGCTGCAGGCACAGAAGAAGGCTTTCAGTGTATCTACCACTACGTGAATTGATACAAACGCTCATGACTGACCCTTAACCGGCTCACTGCCAACCCAGTGGGCACGTGGATGATAACAGCGCACTGACGCATTGTAGCACTCCACCCCTGCACCATGCACGTGATATGACACAGGCTTTGCGTCGAGAAACCCATATACACCTCCTGCGCACCCATCCCGTCGGGGGACAGCACGTGTGTAATGATCACAGAACCGCGAGGGACTGCCACTTCTCTCGTCATAGCTGCAGCACGCATGCGAATGGTAGGAAGTGATGATACCAATTTTGCTGACGCTTCTCGCCTCCCTGCGCCATGGTCACAGTCTCGATGATAACACTGACCTTCTCTGCTGCACACCGAAGCCAGCGTGATGATACAACTGACCCTACTCCTCAACCACCATATTTGTACTTGATCCTCAGCTGGCACATAGCACGTGAATGATACACCAAAGATAACTGACCTTAGGTCAATCGTCTACTGCACACGCATATACACACTGATGATAAGAAGGGCGAACTAAAAATCCAGTACATGCTGGAGACTGCGGCAGAGACCACTGACCATTCACATCAAATTGTTGAGCTTCTTCTAAAGTTCAGCGCTCACTGCACGGGCGGACCGAACGAGCATACAGGACAACTTTGCGCCACCAACGTGATGATACAACTAGACTAGCACATGTGCGTTCTAGACGACGCCGGATCCCAGCGAGCACACCGCATCGACACACGCAACCACGTCGACCCGGCTCTCGCCTGCATCATGGGAGTAACGTGATGATGAGTCTAATAGCACCGAGCTGGGACTAAGAGTCTGAACAAACACTCACCACACAGGGACCTCTACAGGACCTCACCCTGCAACCAGCAATGGGCGCAATGGGTGCACGGTTCGAGTGACACAGCACAACACCCGAACCGGTGTGCACACAGGCGCATCATCAACAAGGGACTTTTCTTATACTTAGTTGTCTCCATAAAAAAATATTGTTTTAGGCGCTAGTTGTTTCTGATAAAGATTTACTTGCTTATTATACTATTCGTTAATAAAAACTGTAGAAATGGGCAAAGAGGGGTCGCGCAAGCGGTCACCGGGGGAACGGCGGATCTGATCAAATTATTAATTGCGATTCTAGGACATCCAAAAATTACTGGCTCAAGGATGCTCGTCCAGAATACAGACACAAACAATTTTTTTATTTTAAATCTTGGGAGAGGTCCCCGGCAGACCGCCCCCCACCAAAGTGGCCTCCCGGCAAGCTTTTTAAAACAGAGGAGACTGGCACCAGAAAAAAGTAACAAGAAAAAGTGCAGCCTTATCTTCTTCCTGGACAGCCGTCCTCCGTTCAAAAAATCCTGGTTCGGCACCCACTGAGGCCTGCGGTTGTGATGCTCTAGAAAATCATCGCTCAGTGGGTTGTGTAGGGCGATATGTCAAACGTCTCTAAAGCACTTGCGCACTAGAGGGCGCCAACAGGATTGCCGTGCAGTGCCTCTAGGTGCTTGCTGCGGATTCTGAGAAGCTGAAAACTCTCAGAGCTTCTTTATTATTCGGCCCCGGGTGGTCTTTGATGGAAGACTGGAAAATTGAAGATAAGCAGTAGGACTGAGTGGGACAGGTGAAGGGAGAGATGTAATGAAGCTATAACATTTTTTTGGTAGTGTCTATGAAGAAATATCATACGAACATTTTAAACTATATAATTGTATATATGTATGGCACCTTAGGGCAGCAAATCCACCTATTAGCGCACCGCTTGCCGCTTCAGCGGCTTAGGTAAGAGCTAAGATCCACTGAGAAAGATTGAATAGCAAAGATTCTGTGTATCATCATACGTGATGCGCAAAACGACTTATGCGTTTGCCGTATATCAGGAATGAATGCAAAACGCCTAACTAGACCCTAAGTCATAACAGTATAACCTTGGCTTAGGTATTCACGAGTGCTGTTAGGGTTATGGTTGGGGGTTGAAGTAGGGTTAACGGGTTTTGGCAATCATTCCTAAGAATAAGTTACATTACGAAAAGTCTGTGGCATTTCAGTTGATGATACACAGAAATCTGTGCATCACTGCGGTGCTTCGCGTAATACCTAAGGGGCCTAAAGTGGATTTTGCACACCTTGAGCATCGATTTGATAAACACGGATAAACGCCCGCCAGGCAGATTTAAACCCTGAGCGGCAGTTAATACGAACGCGGGCTAGTAAGTACTAGAGCTAATATGCACTAGAATGCAGTGCATGTATGATATGTAACCCGACCAGGAACCACAACACGGGGGCGCGGCAGTCGAAAGCGTTGGGCCATGCGGCACTTGAGCGTTCAATAAAATATATAGGCGCAGGGGTCTCGTGGTGCTGTGGGCACCGGCGACAGTTCTAAATATTATTCGCTGTGGCTATATCCCCGGCTGGGCAGCTCGGGGCACAGGTCTTCTTTCGTATCCTAATGCCGGCGGCCAGTTCTTATAAACGGCCTGAACCGTGCTAAAAAAAACCTAACCCTAAAGCGCCTACGACAAAACCGACAATACTCTACTCTAAAGCCGCCTAAAAACCTACTACCCTAACTGGGCTAAAGTCCTAACTCTAACCCTGAACCCTTGTTTACGTGTGAGATAACGCAAACAATGTAAAAACTGCCTGGGCATCTAGGAAATCGAAGACACGTGCCCGGGAGCCGGTCGGATATACGTACGCCGGCTGCCGGGCTATAGCCATGTGTAAATATAATATAGCTGACTAATTAATAATATACAACTATAAATTTAGAGTATAACTTGTCGCCGTGCAGCAGCGACACGACCCCTGCGTCATATATTTAATATGAAACGCTTCAAGCTGCCTGTGACCAGGCTGTGTGACTAACGTCAATATACCACAGGGGCATCCAATATGGTGAACGAAAACCGCCGAGGCTCTCCGACTGTTACACAGGCGTAGGAGCCCTGGACATAAGGGGATCCACCCTTGGCCGAAGAATACGAAATGCCTGGTAAGCTTGCCAAACAACTCTAACAGTGACACTATTGTCATATCTGTCTCAAGCACAGCGCTGCGACACACCACCTATCCGGAATTGCTACGTAAAAATTTCTTCGCTAGCCAACGAGGAGTAGTGTAAGTCGGCCCGACTAAGGGTTAGGCCGAACTAGCGGTGAGCGACGAAGGCCGTTATTATTAGTTAACGTACGTGCTGCCCTAGTTGTTTGGAATTCAGTGTTCGGCGTGGTCCTTCCGTATATGTAAGGCAAGGAAACGGTGAGTGCCCGTAGCAAATAGACAGGAGTAGTAACAGCTAGTGGAACAAGAACAAACCTGATGAGTTTAGATTCGGGATATTAAAGCTGTAGAGCGTTATAGTTTCATTGTGTCCATACTAGTTTTACAATAATTCCGCGTCGCATTCGTATATGCAGGCGGATCTAGTAGACCACTAAGAACTAATATGAAGAATTAACCAACGCGTCGCGCGCAGAGGGACGCCTCGGTTTCGTCTTCCCCTGAACTTAACGTGCGTCACCTCGATGCTCGCAAATAGACCTAGGTATCTTCCACGGGTGTGCTTCGCCTCAGTAGTCGCTCCTGCTGCTACCTAACTGAAAAATCCCGCGTTCTTGCTCCACCTGTAACTGAAAGATTCTGCGGCTGAGCCCTCATTTTCCCTGTAAGTCTGTCTGTTCCTTCCTGAAAACCTCGTGCTTCTCCTTGTCCTCTGTTATCTCTCTCCTTCGAGACCGTAAATCGGCTTTCTCTTCTTCTTCTTCTTCGTTCTTTCTTCCTACAGCACCTCGACCTGAAAGAATAACGCTCCGCCGCCTCTTTCGATTCGGCGCGGCTCTTTAATTATAGTACCTAGCGGCAAGCCCCACGCCGCTCCTGACGTGCACTCCGCCACCAGATTTCGTTCGCTGGTGACACATGAAACTTTCACGCCTGCTGAACAGAAAAGAAGACCCGTGCTGGTACAAATGATTGCATCCATTTTTATGGCAACTGCGTTTCTAAGTAAACTATTTTTCTCTTATCGCACAACCATTAGAACTATTCATTCCTATTCCAAATGATCACCTTTAGTGTATACATTATGCTGATTAAGCTGGATTATATCAACAGCGTTATATCAACGGCAGTAACCACGTTGAATTATCATACTCTAAGTATTGCGTAACTCTATATCTCTCTCTTAGTCAATGTAATGGTTCTTCTATGTATACACCGGCGAGTTCAATCTATCACGCATCCTAGTCTAAGCGCTACCTGCCGCATCGTGATTTACACACGCCCAGCTGGGAAATCTCCACAGCTAGTAGTTAAGCCGAGCAAACGGGAATTGATGCTACAATAATCTTCTAATATAGTATAAGGTATCTTCATAATGATAGTATAAAAAATAGTAGTGGGTCTTCTAATATAGGGTCCTTCTAACCCTGAGCAAGAAGACCGTTATTTGCATTGGAGGCTAGATCATGATGTTTCACATACAACCTAATGACCATCAGCGGAGATAGCCTAGACGTGCAACTGCAAGGTATTAATCAATTAACAATTTACAGATACAATGAGTGAATGAATAGAAATTATTCGCGAATAATAGAGATAATAGTAGATAATAGAGTGAATAACCTGTTATTATTCAGTCCTGATAATAATACATGGTAAAAATACAATGCAATACAGAAGGGCGGGTCAATGTCTTCTAGACTAGCCACCAATATATTATTAGCTCTATGCTATGTTATTTGGCCACATGAGCCCAGGCAACAGGAATGTGGCAACAAGGGATAGTAGTATCTAGTAGAGAACTAATATTATATATCTTAAGCAGTAATCATTTAACCACATACTATCCTAGCCTATGTAATACATGTGTCATTGTTGTTATTCCCCATTTAAGGTATTTTGTAACTGTATGTAACTGCTGCACTCGACTCACACGCAAGCACAGTACACAACTTCGACCAAGGCATAGAACCACCGGGCCGCATGACCCGCAAATTCCGTCCGTCGACAATTCTGGAACATCACACCCTTTCCTGCACAGATGGCTAGCACGTGTTTAACCTGGCAGCGTGGGCATTGTGCAACTCTTTGACACCTGTCGCGTCAGAATCTCACGAGAGAGAATGAGCAAGGTGACGACCAACCGCGCCAAACACTGCCCGCACGCAGCCGCAGGCGGCAGAGCCTCTACGACTACTACACTGCAGGCGGATCTCACTCCGGGCTGGAAGGCGAACGCTCGTCAATTCACCCTCAGACGGCAAAGAGATTCGGATCCTGAGCGGTGCGATGGCACTACTTCCGCGTTGCCGCGCAGGCCTACAGTGGAAGGATCGCCTGCTCAAGAAGTGAAGAGCTGCCGGCCTGAACACTGTGAGAACGTACGTCGGCGTGGAAACGCACACGACGCGCGCGCGCAGTGACTCTCGACTTACTCCGAACGGCCTCGACGTTTGTTTGCGTTTCGGTCGGACGCGCGCGCGACCCCGTCGATCTGTCGTCATCTTCGGCCCGGCCCCTACATCTGAACAAGCGAGTGGAGTTGTGCGGGCTGCCCTGCGTGGCTAGCTGCGCAGACCCAAACATCGCGCGTGAGCGGGCCGAAGGTGCGCCGACCTAGAACGCGCCGTTCATGCCGCGCGTCGATGACTACTTCGCGCGCTCATCCCAGCTCGTGTCAGTCTCAGTTCACTGCGGCGGCGGTCCGATGCCATCGCTTGCGCAGGTGTGAGAAAGTACAGGCAGCGTACGTTCTCGACA